TACAAAGAGAAAGAATAACACATCAACTTCTTAAAGTACAAAACAAAAACCCAGAAGAAAACATCTGGAATTCATGAACTACAATCCCTCTTTATATAGATTATTAATGCAGCATTTGCTTTAATATACCTTCTTGTTATTTACCTGGCCAGATCAACATAATTCTCACGGCAGAATTTCTGAGCTTCGGTCCAGTTTAGTGAAATGCTACTCAAAACATAGGATGGTGATCCACCTACTGTACCTGTAAATATATAGATGAAATGTAGAATAAGAAAACTAAAAGAAAATAATAATGATCTTTCATATATACATATAAAACCCTCTTACCATTATAGCACACAAATTGCCTTGTCTCCATGCACCCAGCATCATCCCACTGGCCCAGTGAGTTATCACTAGAACCATTAAACTGAACACAATGCTGTTGTCCATAATAATCGTCAGGTTGGCCAGGTTGCCAGTTCCTAAATGAATTTTCTCCAGGACCATAGAAGCTGCTGTCATTTAGGGACCATTTCCAGCTGTTTATTGTGTCATCGTAGAGACCGATCCATGCCTTGCCTGAAAAAATAATAAAAAAAAAAACATGTTTATTATAGTTAGAAGCTTCAGTGACATGTTGACTGTTACATATTGTAAGACTTTCAGTAATAGTGATAAAACAATGCAGGGTTTGTGTTTATACCGTTGTTGTTTTCCTTTTTTCAAGTTAAAAACCCACCTGTATAACTGGAGCTGGTACTTAGAAAATCATTAACATCAGCTGTGCTTTCAATGGTGGCCAGATCAGTGTAGTCCCGTCTGCAGACACTCTGAGCTTCTGTCCATGTAAGTGAAGTGTTCACAAAGTAGTACTGATGGCTTTGGGCGCTAGCAACACTGAGCAGGGCGCCTGAAATAAAACCAATTAAACTTTAACAGCATTGAATTATACAGAAAATGTCAGCAAAAATCATGACTAAAAGCATTTAATTATTACTATTTAGTTATCCTATCCAAATAAGATGTGGATAGCAAGAGTCACTGTCAATTATGACATTCAGGTCTAACTTGTTTGTCCTAAAACCTTTCTAGAATTTGTTTTGATGCAATATCCACAATATGTGTAGTTGAAAAGGATTTATATTTATTTAACTTGGTAAACAGGAACCACAAAGTAACCTTCATAGCTGGTTTGTTCACCTCCAGACCTACAGAGTCAGTGTTCTGGCTCTAATACACCTGAGTGAAATCTTTAATGACCTCCTCAGCAAATACCCCTGGCAAATAATTATTAATATTTTTGCAGATCAGCTTCCCTTGAGGTCATCTTACATCATAGTCCCTACTTTTCTTCAAGTTAACCAAGATTACTGTGATGTTAAAATATTAGAGAAAGCCCAGTAGAGGATGCTTTATAACTAACATTTTTTAAAAAATGTTACAGTTATATGAAGGTAAACCTGTGGATGTATTTTAAACACACTACTTACTTAAGTGACATTTTGGGAAAATGGAAACAAGTCGGTCAAAATCAGAGGAACAGAATGAACAAATCTGATTCAACTGGTAAAATTTCCAGATGCCTGAAAGTGCCCACTTCATCTTCAAGTATCAACATCATTTGAATAGTTAGCCCTTACAGGTTAGGAGGGAAACAAGGTTCGTTTCTTAAAGTAAAACATGATCTGCTGCAAAATGTGGATATTAGCTTCAGAACAAAAGCTAAAGACCTTAAAAAATACTTCACAAAATAGCATTGTGAAGAAGTTTAGTTGGAAATATTACAGCAATAATTCAAAACAAGACACTGTTTAGTCTTGTCTTATGGTAAGCCCAAAAATAGGTTTGAACGAGCAACTCTCAAATAATGGTATGGAAATACATGCAAATTTCTGAATATAATTAGAATTTACAATACTGGTAATTCTAATGGATTAAAAAGTTTAGGATATTTTGAATCAGATTTAAGGTCAAACAGTGAGGAAACAAAGCCCAGTTGTCTGTTTTTGTTAATGTCTGGATTTGGTTTGAGTTAATCCTGGGTAAATATCTCGACCATTAAAGCTGTTTAAGAAAGACAAGACTGAACATGTAGGCAGGAACCTGGTGGGATTTGAAGCTTGGACTTCCTTGCATTCAGGTGAAAGTGCTGATCACATATCCAGAGTTTACCTGAACTTTTTCAACATACAACTGAGTTTTAACTTTTGTTTTACTTTGCCTCTCTGTCTGTTTCCCGTAGTGTAAAAATGACTAAAAGAAAAACAATTATTGAAGCCAGAATAAAATGTGCTTGTTAATTTTTAGCACAGAATTTGATTTCAGCCTTTTTCTTACTTTGCCTCTCTGTCTCAGTTTCCCACTGTACAAAAATGTGTAGACAAAAAAAATACTTTAAGAAGCCAGAATAAGAAAACAGACACAAACCTGTGAGGGCAAACAGGATCAGCCTGAAATCCATCAGTGAAAGCTTGATCATCTTCCCTTGAGATAAATTAAAGTATCCAGATAATATCTTCTAAAGCCAAAATGAATGTATTTCACAAATTATGCATGCTAATAACCTGTGTGCCTGTGTGCCTTGCAAGGCATACATTAACAAAGTATTGAGATGCTCTGCATGTTTAAAGGTATTTCAGGAGGGTGTGCCATTCATGGAAGAGTTGCTTTTAACCCGCCAGCATACGTGACAGGACAAGAATGAAGACGGACATAGTTTTAAAACAAAAGGTGTCACTCATCAAAGCATACATGTTTTGTGTTTAACACCACCAGAGTTCATAGGAATTCACTTTGCATTAAGGCTGTTTAAGGTTGTCTAAAAAGTCATGCAAGCAGGTGGTCAGCAGCACCGGAGATGATACTCTGTTTTATTTTTTTCTGAAGATGTCAGAAGAGTCATAGTCCAGCCATTTGTAGAAATATTCAGATTATGCTGCAGTTTTACAGGTGAATGAGAGACAAACATGAAACTTTGAGCAAAATTGGCAGAATGCTCAAACTTAGGGCTGTGCAGAGACCTTTGGGGGGCAGGGGCTCAAAGTAAAAAAAGGGCACATTGAACAAGATTATAAAACACTGTACAGCAACATAGCAACAACCCATATTAATCAAAAATTTAATTGGATCCTACTATATCATTGTCATCATGTGGGGACAATGCAAAGCAAATGTAGTCTATTTTCCCCAACAGGTTTAATGTTGCTGTTTCTGCTGCTGACAGTCCTGGAGGGCTGAGCTGATCTGAGACTGTAGCTGTTAATCAGACCAGAGGAGAGAAGGTTTCCGCTTATGAAGTTATGAATAAGCAAATTTGCTGCTATTTTACTGCTTAAGCCCTAATAATATTCAGGGGCCCCTAGAAATTGTTTAATTGTAAAACAGACCATAGATCTAAACCTGTAGCAGTCATTTATAGAGAATGATAATGTTATTAAATTGTATGCAATGCATTCAGCAGAGAAAAAAAATGTACATTTAGGATTTAATTCGGAAGGTTACTTTGTAAAAGTTTAAAGAATCATCTTGATAGTTTGATGGTGTGTCATCATGGCTACAATATGGTGTAATCTTTGTGTCTGAGCTGGGTTTGTTCACAAATACATCACAGCAAATAACCAATAATCATAGATTGATCTTAAACTCGGCCAATAAACCTGGTCTCCCTCTCACAGACTTCACTTCATTTTTAAACACTGTTAGTGATGCTGAGGTTCTTAGTAGGAAGGGTTTCGGGAGCGGGGGTGGGGGGTTCTGTCTAAGGCCCCATATTACCTTGGGCCGCTATTGCGAGGACAATTACAAAAATTTAAATAGAAACAGTTTTTCCTGACATCACCATCAGAACTATGTTTTTTTTCACAAACCAGTGTATGAAAAAAATATTCTTGCCCATAATTTGATAGAGGCTCAGATCCGCCCCCCTCCTCCTCACCATGGACCCGTGTCTGAACAAGATGGAGGCTTTGAGAGTCATTATAAGACTGAGGGCAGCCAGACTAGTTTATTTTGCTAAATTATTATATTTAGCTACATATTGTTGCTGAGGGGGCACAAGCAGGCCTCCTGACACACAGGTAAAAAAAATTAAAATAATAAAAAAAAAAACCCTCCAAAAGGGAACTAGGGGCATCAAGGATAAAAGGGGCAGGTGGTCAACCCCCCCACACGTGCCTGCTCAAATTCATGGTGTTGGAACAATTGTATCATCTTGAAGGTAACCAAAATAAATTAGGTGACTATAAATTGTAGGAGAAAGAGAGAATGCCAAACACATTTTCTATCATGAGAAAAAGCGCAAATATCTTGGTGATAATCTAGATTACAGTCTGGAGTGGCGACATCATCATCACTGGGCTCATCTGCCTGTACAAAGCCGGAGTGGCATGTTGAGCATGTTGGAGCATAAATATGTTTTTGGTATTTGGTTTTACACAATAAAGCTCTCTGAAATTTAAGAAAAAAAATGGCACAACTATAGTTGTGCCATTTTTTTTGTGTGTGTTTGACACATCAACAAACACAAAAAGGCATTTTTAAATCAAGCTTTAAATCACCATTGGTTGGGTGAACAAACAAGCTGACAGAGTCAAATCTGTGCAGATTATCTCAGCATAGATCCGAGTTTAGCCAGCATTTCCTTGTTTTTCAACATGGAGTCACACTGCTAAGTTTTACTTCTTTATACTTTTACTTTGTTTTCATTAATGACTTGAGTTTTGTGCATACAATAACAACTTGAATTTTATTTTTTTCAAGATTTTGCATGCCGCTCTCAGTATTTTGTCCAAGACCATTTTTTCAATCAAAAGTAACCAATTCATTGATACACAAAACTTTATTTAATGGCAAAAAAATCACAGAATATACATAAATGATTTATGAAAATAAAAAAATTCTAACTCAAAGTTTTGGTGAACAAAAACATGTTAAAATATCAAGTAAAAGAAAATCAAATGTGTAAAATGACAACATTCCAGAATTATGAAATAAACCTCATGTTATTTCAGGGAAAGGAAACAACGTTACAGATGAATTATCCAGAATTTGATTCCCCCGCTGATCTTATGGTTTGGAAGAAATGATTTTCAGAGTAATCTGTGGCGGCAGATTATATTTCCTGAGGAGCTGGATTGAAAAACACATATATGAGTGAAAGGTTAAAACAGACACAAATAGACATAAATTTTTTTTAAAATAGATATTAGCTCACCTCTATCAAAGCGTCTTCTAGCTCTGATTCTGACATTGTGATGGGAAGCTTCAACCTCAGATTCATTCCCAAAACATAATCTGTTGATAACAAAAAATAGACATTTATAATTCACTAACATAATAGAAATCTATTAAATAGAAGATTAATAAAAAAGAATGTGATATTTGTTTTTGAGAAAAATTCAAACTTTAATATTTTTATATGAAAAAATAAAGAAAAAAAATTAAGATTATTTACTCACTTGGCCCTGTTTGTTGGTCGATGAAGTTTCAAGTTTCAAGCAAGTTGGTTTTGTTGACATGAAAAGAAAACAGAAAAACATATTGGGATGATTTAATATTCTTTATTTTTTTGTAATTTCAAAATTAACTTGTCCACAACACACCTAATATTGATCAGAAAGACATAATAATTGCAGGTGTTTCAAAATAAGACTTTGGACAATCTTTTTTAAGTTCTGCAGTAATATTAAAGTAATTAAATCCACTGCAAATTTGAATTTATGTGAAAAATAAGGGAAATCTGTTGGCTTTAACTTATTTGATCTTATCTATTGGATTAAGTATCTTACCAGTAGTTGCAAGTATGCTGACTCCACTGCTTCTGACATTTTCAAACACAGAGAACAGGGTGAATGTGTAGTTTGTACGAGCGGTCAGAGATGTGACTGTGTGTTTCACTGGTCCGTCTCCATCTGGTGCTCTGATGTTTGTCTCTGTGCCGTTAAACTGCAGAACAAAGCTGATGTTGATGCCGACTTTATTCCACTGCAGAGTGATGCTGGTCTCATCTTGTTCCGATGCTCTGAAGCCCTCTGGATTTTTAGGTGCTAAAACAAGTGAGGACAAATTTAAATAATGTATTCAAAACATTTACCCTCCAAAAGTTTACATTTATGAACAATATTGTCATGATGATGAAAAAAGTCCCACAATCTTAAGACACAATAATTTTATTAGGAACATTTCCAAGTCAAGTAATGTTATTTGATCAAATTCTAATATAAGAAATCAAATCTGGTAAAGTAAAACAAATGTTTATGTTCAAATGCTGAAGCATAAAATAAAGTTCAAGGATCAGTTTATTTTTGAGTTTTGCTGTTTGAATGAAGATAGTTTGATTGGTCCATTAAATGTGCAACAGATTTAAGTATATTTTGCTTTTTGCAAAATGATATAAATACATAATCATGTAATAAAGACGGACTAAAATGGCCAAATTATGTTTGCATATGAGACTCGTTAGTCTTTTCATATTTGAGTGATGATTGTCTCAAAAATGTGTTAATATGTTTATATTGAACACTGAGTTCCTTTACACTAAAGTTTAAAACACTTATTGTTCAAGTTTCTGCTTGATGTCTGTTTGCTCTCAGCATATGTTTCACATTTTAAAAATTTCAATTCTATTAATTTATTTTCTACCCATATACAATTTAGCCTTCTGGCTCATAGTGTTACTTCCTCATTGCACTAGACAATGTAGTCCCACAAAAAATAAGACGGCCCACTAGTGTTTTCATACCTTAGACATTGTGCCCATAAAAATAAGGCATTTATTCACAGCAGCTTGGTTCCATGACTTAATTTAGAAGTGTGTATTTTAAAGCACAACTGTTGGAATTTGCAGAGAAAATGGCATTCTATGCATCTACAAATGTCCTACTTAATCTGTATATTTTCCTACTGTTGTAAAAAACTCATTCTGACAATCAGAAACAGCACACCTTCAATTATTAATAGAAGACAATAAAAACTGTTTGTGGTTTTGTTTTAGCACAGTTGTCCGATTTACACCATTATTACTTTCAGTTAACTCTGGATACATCCTGAAAGGATTGAAAAAGTTCAAAAATATTATTTATCTCAGGGTAAAGTATTGTTTTTCCACTAAATTGAGATTTGAATTCATTTTTAAGTGTGACGTTAGCAAGTTTGAGTCCTTGATGGTTCAACCTGATTTTCAAGAGTTTGGAGGAAAACTTGTTTGCCTGGGTTGTCAATAAATTTATGTACTTTATATTCATACCAGTGACTGCTTCAAGTTGTACTCCACTGCTTCTGATGTTCTCAAACACAGAGTAGAGAGTGAATGTGTATCTGGTTCCAGCAGTGAGAAAAGAGACTGTGTGGATCACTGGTCCATCTCCATCTGGTGCTCTGATGAATGTCTGTATGCCGTTAAACTGGAGAACAAAGCTGGTGCTGTTGTTGATTTTACTCCACTGCAGAGTGATGCTGCTCTCATCTTGATCTGACTGCCTGAAGCTGTCTGCATTTGCTGGAGCTGAGACAAAAACAAAAGTATTTATGTCATGTAAATTCAATAAAATCTTTGTAGCCCTAAAATATTAATTTTACATAAAATGTACGTAGGGTCAAAATAAGTTAATGCAAATTATGTTTCACTTTCAGACAAATATGCAGCACGCAATGTAACTTAAGCAAATTCTAAACAAAGGAAAACAAATCTAATAAAAAATATTAAATATTCAAAATTAAAACAATGCAGGGAATAAAGACCAAGGAGTAGAATGGTTTGAGATCTGCTTCAAGGTAGAAGAGTTATTACATTTAACCAAATTATATGCTTCATTAATATGCATTTATAAACACATATGAAAGAAGGGGGTTTAAAGCCTCTAAACGGTCTAATCAAATGATTAAAATATGTAATTTTCATGCTGCTTTGCCTTTCATATTTTTAGTTTGGATCTGAAATTTAAATGTATAAACACATAACTGAGTTCCTTAAGATTGAAACTATTTGATGCTTTGGATATGAAAGTCAGTGGCACAGAGGATTCTACATACAGCAGAAAGGAAGTGAATCTTAATCCACAAAGTAAATCAAACATTTTGTTTAATGTTAAGCTCACAGTTATCTTACCAGTAGCAACCGTGATGTTTACAGCCCTGCTTCTAACATTCATAAACACATGGTAGAGTATGAATGTATATCTGGTTCCAGCAGTGAGAGATGAAACTGTGTAGTTCACTGGTCCATCTCCATCTGGTGAACTGATGTTTGTCTCTGATCCATTAAACTGGAGAACAAAGCTGGTGCTGTTGTTGATTTTATTCCACTGCAGAGTGATGCTGCTCTCATCTTGATCTGATGCTCTCAAACCTTCGACATTTGTTGGAGCTGAGACAAAAACATAAATGTTTACCTCATGTGACTTCCATAAAAAGTCTTGGTGAGCTAAAGGGTTATTTTTACATAAAATGCTTGAAGTAATATAAAGGAGATGTAGAACAAACATTGTTTAATGTTAAGCTCACAGTTATCTTACCAGTAGCAACCGTGATGTTTACAGCCCTGCTTCTAACATTCATAAACACATGGTAGAGTATGAATGTATATCTGGTTCCAGCAGTGAGAGATGAAACTGTGTAGTTCACTGGTCCGTCTCCATCTGGTGAACTGATGTTTGTCTCTGTGCCGTTAAACTGGAGAACAAAGCTGGTGCTGTTGTCTCCTTTATTCCACTGCAGAGTGATGCTGCTCTCATTTTGTCCTGATGCTCTGAAGCCCTCTGCATTTTCAGGAACTGAGAACAAAATTAGATTTAGAAATAATTCAACATAGAGTCACTGATTGTGTCTCCAGAAATAATGTTGCTCTTCTTGCAGTTGAAGTTATTTCACAGTCTCTCAAAGGTGATATAATCAGATATTAAGTTACATTCCTCCAAAATCAACTTCTAAGTAAAGTTTTGTTTGACTTTGATGAAAATAAATCTCTCACCAGTCACTGCAGCAATGCCGACTCCACTGCTTCTGATGCTCGCAAACACAGAGAAGAGAGTGAATGTGTATCTGGTTCCAGCAGTGAGAAAAGAGACTGTGTGAGTTACTGGTCCATCTCCATCTGGTGAACTGATGAATGGCTCTGATCCGTTAAACTGGAGCACAAACCTGGAGCTGTTGTTGATTTTATTCCACTGCAGAGTGATGCTGCTCTCATCTTGTGCTGATGCTCTGAAGCCCTCTGCATTTT